GGGATAGGCATTACAGAGGGGCATGGAAATACCTGGGCACAGAAATGGCCCGGTGTTCCTGGGACCTCTCTTGAGACCTGCCTTACCTCCTGCAGTTGCTGCCAAGAGGAGATGTGACAGCATCAGGACCAATCTGCCCTTGCTTCTTCTTCTCCAGCCAGAGATAAGCCCAGAGCCAGCCTGGCTGCCCCCATTCCCACCCACAGCAGGACAGTGCAGGGCTGAGCGATGCTCTGGGGAACTGGAGAGAGGGGTCAAGATACCATGGGAGGACAGAGCTCAGATCTGCCTAGGTCAGGAAGAGCCAGCTTGGGCTCCCATCCCTTCCAGCCCTGGGGCTGGTAAACATCTCTTCTGTGCCTGGCAGTGGGGTACTGCAGGGTTATGTCAGATCTCCATCCTACTATTGGTCCTCCAACTTCCACACATCCTATGGGAGGGCAGGAAAGGGCAAAGTATTTCAGGAATGATACAGGTCCCAGGCAGAGGGAAACACAAAAAACCCATGCCCATGTCCTCTTCCCAGGAAAGGGGGGGCTCTCACCTTTAACGGCTGCAGCAAAGGTGATGACCAGCATCCAGAGGAGCGTTGCAGGCTTCCCCAGAGGAATTTGCATGGTGCACCGTGAGGTAGGAAAGTAAAATTGTGGGGCTGGGAAGGGCTCAGACCTTCCTCTCTTTGAGACAGCAGAGAAATGCCCTGTTCTTCCAGCGCTGAGGGCTCAGACTTCCTTGTAACTCCAGGCAGATTTGCAGCCTTTTCTGAGCAACCCCTTTGCAGTTGCAGGTACTTCATACACTGGGGAGTGGATACATTCGTCACTGCTGGCCTGGGTGGGGACAGGAAACCACATTCCCTTTTCTGTACGGCTCAGCCTGCACAGGAAACACAGGGACCTCTCTTGTCTCCCCAGGGCCCCTCATACCAGTATCTCTGAACCTCCTGTCAGAGGCTGTGGCCCTGCAGATGGCTGTGGTTATGTAGATGGCTGGGAGGGGACAGACATGGTATTGTGGAGAGGGTCTTCTCCCTGGGAGTGATATCCTCCTTCCCTCAGCATGGCCCAGACCTGTTGCCCCACCCCCAGCCAAGGGCCACAGCTACCAGATCTGGGAGGGAGCAGGAGGATTTTCACTTCTGGCTGCTCCATGTCTGTATCACTGTGAGCTGTGCCCAAAGCACTGAAATTGAGCAGGCAGTCTTCCTGTTCCTGCGTGGTGAAGAGCAGGATCCCCACCTGGGAGGAACCCTGGGCAAAATGGGTCATGTGGACATAGGAGAATCCTGTCACCCACCACGTATTGTGGGGGCCCACAGGGATGCTCCAGTACTAATGCTGATAAATGCGAGAGGCCTCAGATCTGTGACTCCATCAGAGAGCTGCCCAGTCACCTGCTTATTGCCCATACTGCTCAGTGTGCAGGCTGACTTGAATTTCATTCAGAAACAAAGCAGGGTTGTCTCCGCTGCTCCACTTCACCCAGCACAGAGAGGCTGAGTGAGGAGCTAGAGGAACAGGGAGAGCTGCTCCAGGTGGTTTAAACACCCAAAGGCATTTAGGGGCAGCAAGAAGAGCTGTTAGAAGGGCTGGAGGCAAGCTCTTTCCTGGGTTAGCATAGAGCACTTAGAGCTCTTTAGGGGGCATGAAAAATGTTGAAGATCTCCCTCAGGCTTAAATCTTGCTCTTGGGTCCTGGTGTAGGAATGAGGCAAAGTCAGGAAGGATCCAGTTGCTGCAGTGGATCTCTACCCTCCCCATAGTTCTAGCTGCAGGATATCAGGAGTTTATAAGGGCTGAAGAAGCGATAGGAGGGGCTAATTGAGCATGTCCATAGGTGCAGAGAGAGAAAGAAAGAGAAAAACAAAACAAAATATCTGTGACTCAGCCTCAGTAATGGAATCATCTCCAGCCACACTCATGTGTGATATAAACCAGGATGAACCGATGTCCATTTAATACCAACATTCAGTTTCACAGGTTAAAACATGCAGTCACCTTTCTGCATACTCCTCCCACATTCTCGTGTAGTCAGAGCAAGTCCTATACAAACCAATGATGAGTGTCCCATAGCTGCTAGCTGAAATAGCAGCCACCAGTGTAGGGGCATGCTAATCTTCAGCCAGAGAGGCTATGGACTTCAATTAGGAATAAAATATTTCTAGAAAATTAGGTGGGCTTTTCAAAAGAACTTGCTGGGCAGGGCTACCTTGACATACATTGAATTGTTCCTTTCTCTATTTTTTCTTTGGTTCTGTTGTCATGCTTGGTCTGTGTGGCTGCATTTCTTTGTGAGCAACCAAAGTGAGTTATTTCCAGCTTTCCTCTAAAACCGAGGCCATGAAATAAGAAAACTATATTAAGATGTAACTACTTATTTTTTCTGCTTTTTTTTTTAACTGGTTGGTTAACAGGTTGATCTTTCATTCTGCTGTAGTTGGGAAGGCAGATAAAGAAATACCAGGACAGGCTGAACCAGGACTTGTAACTGACAATCAACTGGAGATTATATTTTTGCATGCCTCAGTTTACAGGGTTTACAGGTTTACTGTCTTTGTGCAGTGCACTATGAATCCACAGGGGAAGCCCCTCCATTCTTTTCGTGCCTTCTTAGGGTCACACTTGGTTGGCAAAGAGGGAGAATGCTCCTCCTTTGCTTTCCAGGAGAAGCAGGGCAGGGGCAATGATATGGATTGCACCAGAGAAGGGTAATGGGCTGCCATTTTGGAGGGAAGCGCACTGGCACATGGACAAAAGGAGATTTCTAAGAGCACTGAGCAGGGTTGCTCTGTTGTTTCTTTTTGTCACAGCCCTTCAGGACTCTATGTCCCTGACTCTGTGTCTGGACAGTGGTAGGTAGTTGGATCTGCAGGGCTCTGGGAGTACAGGTACAGGGTCAGATTCAGGGAGATCTGGTTGGTGAAGGGTACTGTGGGAATGAGGAATAAATTTTTTGAGGGATGGGTCATATCCTGTATCTCCATCTCAATAAATGAGACACAACCAATTCAGCTTTTTCCAGGGCATTCCCTGTACCAGTTTCCTCCAAAGTTTGAGTTGTGAAGCTTTCCTATACCAGGCTGGACAGCATCAGCTGTAACTGCAAGATGGCACCTTGGGAAAGAGAGTCAAGAAACTATTCTGACCACTGGAGGTACATGGAGGATGTGTGTGTGTGTGTGTGTGTGTAGTCAGGAAGACAGAACTTTTCCCTAGCATTCCCTTGTCCTCTACTTCCCTCTTCAGGCTGGGGAGGAGGAGGCAGGGGAAGTGGATAACGGGCACTTCCCCAGTAATGGGAAATAGATGGCAGAAAGGGGTCAGATACTCCTAAGCAGCGTATCCTACTGTCACCATCAGGCAAAGCACAGGGGACTGGAAGGACCACTAGCCTGACTCAGGAGGACACATTGTGTGCTAGCCAGCCACCAGCACCCGGATACTCACTGTGGCCCAGGAACAGTAGTGAGAAAAGCCAGTCCATCCTGGTCCAGGGCAGGGAGAGAAACTGCCTTGTAAGCTGCAATGGGGTTATCTCCCTGCAGCTGCCAAGAAGGAGGCTGGAAAGGGGGTGGTGGTATAATGGGGAGAGGAGGCAAGTGCCAGTGCTGAACTGGAGTCAGTCTCAGACTCAGTACTAGAACTTCACTTTTGTCTCTGGCTGGAGCAGGACTGCTAGAGGAGCAGTTCTCCCCACAGAGCAAGCAGGGTCCACCCTGGGCCTGGCATCTGCAGGTCTTGGGGGTCCACTGACCTCATGAGCAGCAGTTGAGCCTTTTGGTCAAAGGTCAGCCTGCCTTTGCCCCCACCCTTGCCCTCTGGTAATCAGACCCCTAGCACCCTTGAGTCTCAGGGCTGCTGTAAAGATGCATGAGGATCCAGGCTGCATCTTTGGTTCTGGAGGTGGGGAACAGCCTTTGGGAAAGCTGTGGTACCTTTTGTGCCCCAGGTCAGCAGCCAATGCTGAAGACACCCTACTGAGTGCCCCACTTCTGAGTCACATCCAGTAGACTGGAAGCCTGAACTTCATAAGACAGAAGGATAAACTCGGTAGCCTTCCTCTATGCTCCTCTGGCTGCATTTCCATGTGACACCTGGTAGAACAAATGGAGGTACTAAGGCCAAGCTGCTGTACCTTTTCCTGTGTCTCCAGGTCTGAGCAGTCAAGCAGAAGAGACTGAGTCAAGTAGGGCTCAGGGCAATGTCTGAGAAAGAGAAAGTCAAGGGGAGATCCCAGTGTCAAAGTCAGGATGGAGCCTTGCAGCTGGGGAGTGAGTGGGAAGGAGTGGATGAACGTCAAGAAGTCATTTTATTCACAGTGCAGATACACTTAGTGTTGTTTGCCAGGTCAAATGCAGCAATACTAAGTGTTGTGGAGCTCCAGTCAGCCTACAAGGAAAACCTTTTCTGAGCAAACAGGAAGGCTGTCTATCCAACCCCCACCTCCAAAGGCCAGTAGGCTGGGGGTGGGCAAAAGGTTGGGAGGGGCACAGCCAGAACAGCTGACCCCAACTGACCAAAGAGATATTCCATAGCATATAGTGTCATGCTGAGCAATAAAAGCTAAGAGAAAGGAGGAGGATGGTGGGGCATTCATTATTAAGGTGCTTGTCGTCTGAAGCAAAGGCTGTGCACACTGAGGCCCTACTTCCCAGGAAGTGGCTGGACATCTGCTGATGGGAAGTAGAGAATAAATCTTTTTCTTTTTTTAGAATAGAATAGTTAAGTTGGAAGGGACCTACAATGATCATCTAGTCCAACTTTTGCTTTGCTTCCACATGTGACCTTTGCTTTCTTTCATTAAACTGCCTTTATCTCGATCCATGAGTTTAGGGAGATGGTGCCTGGGGGGCCCCCGGGCAGGGAGCCAAGGTCAACCCACCGCAGAGATACATAACCAGGCTGTCCCATATGTGACAGGGCAGATGATGTCATCCAGTAGAGGAATCTGGAGCAGCCTGGAGAGCCCGGGGCATCTCCATGAACAACATGTACCTGGGGTGGGCAGTGAATGGAGCCCTACCAGGTGGGGATAGATTGCCCAAGGTAGACTGACCCAAAGGTAAATTGCCAAATTAAGGTATCCATAGGCAAACAAGGACTTTGCAAGCCCCAAGGGATTCAGTGGGGGCCCAGCAGGCACAAGGAAGGTAGCCTGGAGAGTGATTAATGTCACTCTGAATGAATTACCACCAGCTGGATCTAGAGACACACCTGGCCACCTCTAGTGCCTTTGGAAATGCTCCATAGACTCTCCAAGCACCTGCCACCTCCACAGACCCCTGGGGAGGGGATTTAGCAGCAGTGGTCCCAACCCAGCTGGCTCTACTTCCCACTCCAACCAGCATGGCCAGTGTGGTTTAGCAGACCAAGCCTGCTTGGTCTGCTAAAAAGCACTGCCAGCTCAGAACCCTGCAGGGAGCATGGGGAGGGGTCCAGGAATGGCCAGGCAGATCAGAGGAGGAATGGAGAGATATCAGAAGGGAGGTGACCTAAGCTGGAAGTTTCCTCAGAGTGGAAAATGCCAATGTTCAGGTAACCCAAGGCAATATCCAGATTATGGGTACCCCAAAGCATGGTCA